ACTGTCCCACTGTCCCACTGTCCCCGCCGCTGTCCCACTGAGCTGCCCCACTGCCCCCACCACTGTCCCCACTGTCCCCACCACTGCCCCCATTCTGTCTCATTGTCCCACCGCCGTCCTCGCCACCGCCCTCACCACTGCCCCCACCACCACTGTACCCTCCACTGTCCCAACGTTTCCACCACATTCCCACTGTCCCCACACCACTGTCCCCACCACCACCGTCCCCACCACTGTCCCACTGTCCCCACTGTTCCCACCATTGTCTCCGCTGTCCGCACCAGTGCCCCCACCAGTTTCTCACTGTCCCCACTCTCCCCATCATAGTCCCACCTCGGTCCCACTCTCCCCACGGTCCCCACCACTGTCCCACTGTCCCCACTGTACCCACCACTGTCCCACTGTCCCCGCCGCTGTCCCACTGTGCTGTCCCACCGTCCCCAGTCCCCATCACTGTCCCACTGTCCCACTGTCCCCACCACTTTCCCCACTGTACTACTGTCCCACCACTGTCCTCACCACCGCCTTCACCACTGTCCCCACCACTACCGTTCCTACCACTGTCCCACTGTCCCCACAACTGTCCTGCTGTCCCTTCACCACTGTCCTGCTGTCCCTTCACTGCCACTGTCCCCACCACCGCCGTCCCCACCACTGTCCGCACCACTGTCCCAGTGTCCCCGCACCACTGTCCCCACCACCACCGTTCCCACCACTGTCCCAGCATCCCCACAATTGTCCAACTGTCCCGAGGAGCGGGAATCGTTTGCCGACGGCGAAGGGGGGGGGGGTGAGGGGGGGGGGGGAGGGTTCGAACCGGTAGTGATCCCCCGAGCGGAGGAGGGGGGGCAGTTCGAACCAGTAGTGACCCCCCCTTTTCATGATGGACTGGTTCGAACCGGTAGCGAACCCCCCCCCCCCGGTTTTCCAGGGGGGGAGGGGGGACGGGTTGGGAACCCCCAGTGACCCCCACCCGGTTTTCTGCCAGCAGCGATAGAACACGCTCTTTCGCGCATCCGGAAGCCCCTTGGGGAAGGGGGGGAGGAGGGGGCGGTCCCCCATCTGGCGTTTTCTTAAAATGATTTGCGCATCCCCAAACATGTTTCGGGTGGTCCCAAGGACCCCCCCTTAGATCTAGCCGCTACCGCCCCCAGGACCTTCCCCTCGGAACCCTCCCCGGACCCCCCCCGGGACCGCTCCAGGCACCCCCCGGGGAGAAGAAAGAGGACCGGAATAATCGAGGAGGGAGGAGGCCACAGAGCCGCGAAGATCACCGAATCCAGAGCCCCCTCGGACCGGCGGCACTGGCAGGAGGCCACTACCACATCTAAAAAGAGTGTGCACCGCGCTAAGGCGAGAGCCACATTTTGAAAACGGCCCGCCCTCAATCCGTGATGCCCTTGCAAATTTTCAGAACGAATGTGCGCCGCGCTAAGGCAAGAGCCACATATTGAAAACGACCCGCACTCAACCTGTGAAACTCTTACAATTTGCTGACACGAATGTGCGCCGCACTAAGGCGAGAGCCACATGTTGAAAACGGCCCGCTTTCAATATGTGAAATTCTTGCATATGTTTAAGACGAATGCGCGCCGCGCCAAGGCGAGAGCCACATTTTGAAAACGACCCGCCTTCCATTTGTGAAACTGTTGCCAATTTTAAGCTTCAGAATCGTGAATGGTGAGGGAGTCTCAATCGAAACGCCTGGTCCGCCCTACAAAACTGGCCTCGGGGTGCGACAGGGAGAGGTTACTT